AAAAAAAAAAAAAAGAAAAAAAAAAAAAAAAAAAAAAAACAAAGACAGGGATCTCGGCTAACTTTTGGGTTATTGTATTTAAAAAAACAACAGCATTAATAACCACTATTCAAAGAGGGCTTAACAAGCATCAGGCTCCATATTTTTACATACAGTATTATCTCCCTTAAACCATATAACCGTGAGGAGTAGTTTTTACTAGCCCCCATTACACAGAAAAGAAAACTGAGGCTCAGTGAGGTTCAGTAAACTGCCTAAGTTCACAAAGCCAGAAAAAGGCAGAGACAGGATTAGAACCCATGTCTCTCAGACTCCAGAGACCACATATAACTAACTTAATGTCAAAGAGTGCAGTCTCACTGGTCTGCATCGGCCAATTCCCTCACTCGTTTGGTAAAATCTTTATTGAGCACCTATGATTACCAGGCACTGGGGATGCAGTAGGGAACAAAGTCTTTGCTCCTGAGGAGCAAAAGTAGGAGCCCAGAACTAAGGGGAGATAGGAAACTTTAGTAGAAACACACACACCTGGCCCATATCCACGGTCTTCTCACCACCACGGCCAAGGGCTGGGCGGCTGCTCGTTGGTGACTTCTTCCTCTTTAATTGAATTTACTGGAATAAAAACATAAAAGTAAAAGGATCTTGCAAAGTGATTTCCTCCCCCAAGCTATCATTCCCGCAGGGAGGATGACTCAGGACCCCAAACCCTCGGCTGTCAGTGTTTCACCCAAAGTTTGAGCATGATGCCTGGCCGGCCCCACGCCTCTGGAAGGCTCACCACTGGCCCAGGTCTGCTCGGGGAGATGGAAAGTTGTCTGCATTTTCTTTCCTTCCTCTTGTGCAGTCAGCTCTCCGCTGAGCCCTGAAGGGTCTGGACCAATTTCATCCCACCAGCCCATCCACACCTCCCACCACCTCCCCCTGAAGAAAGCAGATTTCTTCATGCCCCTCCAACTAAATGCGTTTTTCCAACTTTTCTGGCGGAGAAGTTTTTGTTTGTTGAAGGAGCAAGTTCTGACTTGCAGAGTACTCATGCAGGGCTGAGATAAAACAAAATGGGAATGATTATGAAAGAGTTGCTAAAATCACTGAACAGAACTGACTGGCGGGGGGAGCTAGAAGTGGGGAAATACTCCTGACCCAAGTGGTCTGTTTTATTGCCTTCTTATCTTTCGGGCTGTCTTCTCCTGCTATGATTCAGCTCCCAGACTGTGCAGAAAACAATTCTTTCCTCATCAAAGGAGCTAATCACTGCTTTGCCTGGTGGCTATTAGGTGAGAGAACAGTCTGATCAATTGATGATATAAAAAGAGTGAGTAAGAGGATAGTTATCTTTGACTTACTCTGGGAATGAGATTTCATTTTAAAATGAACAATGCTCAGAAACTTTATCCTTATTGATCATACTGTACTGCCTCTACAGCAGAACAAATTAGCACCTGATTTTATATTACCTGGTCCTTGTCTCTCCTTACTGGATGGCTCTTTGTGGGTCATACGAGACTCTAAGTGCCTCTGATGAGAGTTACATTGCTCGGATCCCCTGGGGTCAGAGGGAGGTGCCCAGGGCTGAATGAGGCACTCTGGCTGCTCAGTATTTCTTGAGTACCCTACAGTCACAGATAAAAACACACTCGGCCTCAAAGCAGGAAGAAAAAGGAACATTTTTTCTGTTGCGTCTGAAAATATCTTTTGTAAACAGTCTGCTCACATTTCCAGAGCAAGATAGAGACTAGATGCAAGGAGTGATCTGGACATTTCCTATCTGCAGCGAAAATGGGGCTCAAGATGATAAATATCTTGGAACATGATAAAATCCAGAGGCCTCTTCCTGGGCCATCACTAATTTAAAAAAAAAAAAAGTAGTAATACGCAACCTTATCAGAGAGACTTATGTTCATTTAAAACCCAAGTTATTGTGACCTGAGCAAAATGAGAACTCCAGTTACAGCAGTGCAGAGTAAACATTTGGCATACCAGTGGACATCTAGTAAGTCTCTCAGGGACAGTGATTTTCAGAGGTAACAGGATTAAAGAGAAACCTTTTATGATCTCATACAGGAAATATACTCTAATTGTGACCAGCCCATATAGGTGCTCAATAAGTTTTATTTCTAAAATTTATTTATTATGAAGTAATGTCCTCTTTTCTAAGAGCAGGACCCATGCCACTTAAGATAGCCCCTCCACTGTGTGAAAGTTAGGTGGGAAAGTGGGGGTGGGATGGGAGGAGCTCCGCTAACTGCAAGATTAGCTCATGTACTGTTGGCTTGCTTGCATTGGCTAATACCTATTGGCGCCATGATCTGGTGACCAAGTTGCCTCACTTGCAGCTTTAACAACCGAGAACAAAGATGGTTCAGGGCCGCACCTTGAATTGGCTGGTGTGGTCCTGGCCGCTGGAAATAAAAATCTTTTTCTTTTTTCTATATCAGTCTCCAAGGGTGATTTTCTCCCGACGCCTATAACAATTAAACACTTATATTGCATATGGACTGTGCCAGGCACTATTCTAAATGCTTTACAACTATTTGCTCATGCTCCTTTTTCTTCCTGGTTTGAGGCTGAGTGTGCAAGTTAGCTGTGATTATAGGGTAATCAAGAAACACTGAGCAGCGGGAGCACCTAGCACAGCCCTGGGCAAGCTGACCCACATGTTTGGGTTGAAGTATGTACCTAAGAGTTCACTTCACCCTGGATCCTGTTTAGGCAGGAGTGTTTTCTGTGTAGGCACTGTTCTTACCTCATGTGTCCCTCACAACTGTGTTGGTGGCTGCTTTCTATTAATTGTGTGCCCTCCTGTCCTCCTGTTACTCGGCTGAACCAGATAAAACTGCTGATCTCTGTTACTGATGTTTTGACTGCTTTCGATTTCTAAAAAAATGACAATGATAATAGTGCCTACATTTTAAGAAGAGGAAATGGATGCATGGGGTTACCTAAGTTACTTGTCTTCATGCCTGAGAGGTAGCCAATAGCTACATGTGGATTCAAAATCTAAACTGTCTTCTTCTGAACTTATTAACATGCTACTTTTAACCAAATATTAAGACAGGCCAGCTGCTTGGTTTTGAGCTGATGCTCACCCACTTAGTAGCTCTGTGATTTGGGGATAAAGGCTTTTCCTCTCTGTTTCAGTTTTCTCATCGGCAAAAAATAGAAGTAATAATAATGCAGTATTGCCCAATTTGTAGGGTTGCCCTGAGGGCGGAATAAGGAACTCTAAGTACAGAGGTTAGGACAGTGCGTGGGACTTAGTAAGTGCTCTATAGCTATGAGCTGTTATCATCTTCAGGTTTCCTTTTATACTTTTTCCTGCTTGAGTAAAATATACCAACCCTTCCCCCCAGCTCCTTTGTCTACTAATACAATGCCACAGAACTGAGAAACTCAATAGTGAAAGACCTCTTTATAGTTTAGCCAAGGAGGCAGGGGATGAACGATTAGCCTCAAGGCTGCCAGCCTCCCTCACAATTTCCCACGTCACTGGGGCTGGAACTCCAGTTTAGTGTTACACTGCGAGCTTTATTTCCTTTTACTTGAGGGGTGTCTCACTTCTGAGGAGTACAGCTGTGACATGTCATTCTGGACGCCGAGCCAAGGAACCTCCAGACCTGGGAGCGCCGCGGGAGCACTGATGGGCAATGGCAATTCTTGTAAACAGTCCCTAAGTCAGTCCTGGCGGGCGCGGGAAATTCCCCCGTGTTCAAAGCCGAGGAAGCGGCAAGTCCAGCCCTGGGGGGCCGGGAGAGGAAATCCCCACGCCCCGTCCGAGAAACCGCGGCAGGTCGAAGCCACTCCTCGTACCAGGGCTCGTCTTAGGGCTGTTTCTCTACGTCAGCGAGCGGCCTGCCCGATTCCCAGCAGGCTGTCCCGCAGCCACGGCGCCCCCACCCCGGGAGCCGTCCCCCAGGCGGGGGTCCCGGGCAGGCCCGGTGGGAGCGGCCCCTTTAAGAGTGGCCGCGGCCACGTGCCCGTGACGTCAGAGCAGGAAGCGTTTG